TTAGCCAGGATGGTCTCCATCTCCTGACCTTGTGATCCGCCCACCTTGGCCTCCCAAAGTGCTGGGATTACAGGCGTGAGCCACCGTGCCTGGCCCACTTCATTCTTTTTTATAGCTGAATAATATTTCATTGTAAGTGTATACCACACTTTGTTTATTCATTCATCTGTTGATGGACACCTAGATTGTTCCACCTTTTGGCTATTATGAATAATGCTGCTGTGAACATTGTCTTACAAGTGTCCATTTGAGTCACTGCTTTTAATTCTTTTGGGTATATACCTAGGAGTGGAATTGTCAGATTGTGTGGAAGTTCTTTGTTTACCTTTCGGAGGAACTGCCAAACTGTTTCCCACAGTGGCTGCACCACTTTGCCATCTTACCAGCAGCGTACAAGGGTCCCTATTTCTCCACATCCTTACCAACACTGCTTTTCTTTTCTTTTTGTAGCCATCCTAGTGGGTGTGTGGTATCTGTGGCTTTGATTTACTTTTCCCTAATGTCTAATGAATGATGCAGAGCATTTTTTTGTTATTGACTGTTGGCATACCTTCTTAAAGAAATGTCTATTCAAGTCTTTTGACCATGTTGTATTGGGCTGTTTCTTTCTTTTTTTTTTTTTTTGAGAAAAAGTCTTGCTCTGTCACCCAGGCTGGAGTGCAGTAGTGCGATCTCAGCTCACTGCAATCTCCACTTCCGGGTTCAAGCGATTCTTCTGCCTCAGCCTCCTAAGTAGCTGGGATTACAGACATGCGCCACCACGCCTAGCTAAATTTTGTATTTTTAGTAGAGACAGCGTTTTACCATGTTGGGCAGGCTGGTCACGAACTCCTGACCTTAGGTGATTTGCCTGCTTTGGCCTCCCAAAATGCTGGGATTACAGTCATGCGCCACCATGTCTGGCTAATTTTTGTATTTTTAGTAGAGATGGGGTTTCGCCATGTTGGCCAGGCTGGTCTCGAATTCAACTCAGGTGACCTACCTGCCTCGGCCTCCTAAAGTGTTGGGATTATAGGCGTGAGCCACCATGCCTGGCCTGGGTTGTTTCTTAATGGGCAGAAAGAAGTGAACCAGTTTTTAGAATATCCCAAGCTTTTTAAATTTTATTTTTATTTTAATTAACCTCAGGGCTTTTACTTATGCTTGGAATGTCCTTTCCAGTACCCTTATCCACACCTGCTCCTCCAATCTTTAGTTTATCAGATCTCCCCAGACACTTCTTCCCTGATATCCTATATTTATTATATTCTGCTCTGGAAACCATATTTTCGATTATAGAGCCTTACTTAGTTTCTTCATAGGACTTATCACAATCTGTATTTTTGTCTATATGTTTGTTTTTCACATTAGTATGGAAGCTCCTTGAAGGCATGGAAAAACTCAGGATTTAGAAATCCTTTTATACTAATGAGCTCGGGCCCTGGCATCTAGTAGATGGTCAGTAAATACTTGATAAAAGAATGAGGCAAAGCTTATTTGCATAAATGTCCAGAAGCCTTGAACTTCACATTTAGTACTGCAAGCACTAATAGTTGATGATTACAGCTGGTCTTACCAAATAAATGAAAATTTGTTTTTAAACCTGCCAAGATATGAAATATTATTGACACTTTTTCTTAACTTAATTGAGCTTAAACACCTGTGCTGATAGCAGTAATTAGATGTGTGTATGTGTGTGGGCTCTTATCATACATGTATTTCCTAGCTCCGTGTGCTGAAAAGGCCTAAAAGCAGTGGTACTTCAGTAGCAATCAGTACATCTAGCAACCAAATCCTGAGTTTTCTAAATACCATTCTTACAATAAAAAGAAACAGAGCTCCTTGGTGAAATGGTTGGTTCCTGAGTTGGGGCAGGAAAATTATAAGACAAGCCTAGAACATCTTACGGTGACAGACAGTAAAGAAGTGGTCAAAAATGATGTCAGAAGTACAAAGAGCTAACTTTAAAGGAGTTGAGGGGCCCAATCTAGAAGAATTTAAACAACAAAATATCCACAAGTCTATACTGATAGATACATGGATACAAAGGAACAATTCTTCCTTATAGAATTCTAATTTCTTTTTTTTTTTTGGAGACAGAATCTCGCTCTGTTGTCCAGGTTGGAGTACAGTGGTGCGATCTCAGCTCACTGCAAGCTCTGCCTCCCGGGTTCACGCCATTCTCCTGCCTGTAGCTGGGACTACAGACTCCCACCACCATGCCTGGCTAATTTTTTGTATTTTTAGTAGAGGCAGGGTTTCACTGTGTTAGCCAGGATGGTCTTGATCTCCTGACCTCGTGATCCACCAGCCTTGGCCTCCCAAAGTGCTCGGATTACAGGCGTGAGCCACCGCGCCTGGCCAGAATTCTAATTTAATTAATAAATATAGAAGGAATGATGGGAATAGAAGTCACCATTAGGCAGACAACACAGTAATACCATTCAGCACACACCATTAGGTATTACACGCATCCTTAGACATTACAACACAGTAATAATTGTGGCAGTGTGCAGCGGTGCAATCATACCTCACTGCAGCCTCGAAACCATGGCTTGGCCGGGCATGGTGGCTCATGCCTGTGATCCTAGCACTTTGGGAGGCCGAGGCAAGCGGATCACCTGAGGTCAGGAGTTCGAGACCAGCCTGGCCAACATGGTGAAACCCCGTCTCTACTAAAAATCCAAAACTTAGCTGGGTGTGCTGGCAGGTGCCTGTAATCCCAGTTACTTGAGAGGCTGAGGCAGAAGAATCACTTGAACCCGGGAGGCAGAGGTTGCAGTGAGTCGAGACCACACCATTGCACTCCATCCATCCTGGGCAACAAGAGTAAAACTCTTGTCTCAAAAAAAAAGAAACTATGACTCAAGTGATCCTCCCACCTCAGCCCCGAGTAGATGGGACTACAGGCACGCCACTATACCTGGGTGATTTTTTTTTTTTTTTTTTTGAGACGGAGTCTCGCTCTGTAGCC